ACCAGGAACCTTAATTGGCCAGTTTTAATCCCCTTTCTTCCCCTCAAAGCAATATATTAGAATCAAAGCAAACAAAAACAGACTGGCAATCCTGGAGTTACACTAGTCGAATGTTTAAGTAGTAGTAAAGGCCATTCAGAAGTGAGCTTTTTCAGTGGAAGTGAAGCACAAAAAGGAAGCTGTTTTGAACACCGAGTTCAGGCATTTAGGCAACCCTTAACTCCATACCATTATTCCTTAATACACTCTGACTCGGTGTGTGTATATTAGTAAAACAGCTACCATTAAGATAAGCGATGCTCGACTACATTTGCTCAGAGTGTAACAGATTATTTTAACTAATTCACTAAACCAATGTCAGATCAGAACTCACACTTCGCAAGTCTTAGGTTTTTGGGCCAGGAATGGTTTTTTCAGATTAAATTTTTCCATCTAATCTGGGAAAGAGATGTAGACAAGGCAAAAATATACTGTCAATGGTTTTTGCAATCTCCTAGATTATACTCAACCTAAAAACCTATGGTATCAAGAAATGAACACACTCATACAATAGATTTAGAACTGGGTTTAGCCTCAATATAACAAAGGATGAAAATGAAATAATTCAATTATGCTCTAGAGCAGTGGTTCCCAAACTGGGGTTCGTGAACCCCTGGGGGTTCACAAAATGTTACAGGGGGTTCTCGGGGGAAAAAATTCCCTAATGGCAGACAGAGCGGTCTCTAGGGACCCCGGGCAGCATGGGGCGCGGAGCCCCTGGACTTCCAAGAGCTAAGCAGATCAAAGCAAGCATATCTATCACACTGAGGAGATTTAAACTTCAAGACTCCTTCTAAGAAATGGAAAGGGAGCTGGATATTTTTTGCTGTTTTTAAAATCAAATAGGCAGCTAGTATTGTTTTTAAAATTATTATGAAGAACAAGTTTAATCTTTGTTGTAACATGCATTGTTTGCCTGGACTACTCAAGACCTGAATGCTTGTTTAGGAGGAACTCTTTGAGCTGGCTTCTTAAATACCTTCATGCTGTTTCACATCTGATACTCCTTGATGAAACATAGGTGCCTTGTCTTATAACAGGTTTATTCAAAGTGATACAAGCTACAAAAGTGAGATCTTGGAAGAGTGTTGCCATTTTCATAATGTAATAAAAATACTGTAATTATAAAATAACAAATAATGTGTAATAAGCATGTCATAAAAACAAATTTTATATTTCCAAGATCACTGCTTTTATAATTTATACTCTGGTAAAGGAGAAAATCCCTGGAAATATTCATTTTGAGGAGGGGGTTCATGAGACTTGACATTTTAATGAAAGGGGTTCACACATTGTTAAAGTCTGGGAACCACGCTCTAGAGATACCATGTCGTGAAGCCTTCACAGCTGGCACCCACTGTCAAGTGCTAGGAAGGTCAGATAATCAAGAGCGTTCCAAAATTTAAAGATCACCCACCTACATTTTCTTTCTTTTATTAAGCACTTTCATGCACTAAAGAGCTGCTCTGTTATCTTTGTGCTCTATTGACAAATATATATTTAAGAGTTTTAAAAAGCAACTAGGAATAAATACTCAAATCAAGGTGTACTTTGGCATTGACTAAAATGGGAGCAGAATCAGGTCAATATATATTTTTATTCAGCACCTGGCAGTATGCTAGCTGCTTCAAGAAAAATAGAGAGATGGTCCCACCACGGAAAAGTTTCTAATTTTTCAATTGCACATAACACAAGACAGGTAACAAGTAGCAAGACTAGAGGGGAGAAATGCACAGACTATGTGGGAACTACAAAAAACAGACACCAGACTGCAAAGTTCTCATCTCTACTACCTAGGTGCTCAGATACTACACTAATGGGAGTCACGTAAGTACCTAGCTAGGTAGCTGGATAACTAGCTACCGTATGTGCTATATTTTCCAACGTGTTCCAGTTTCAGTATTTTAACTGTGGCCACCTAAGGGCCCAACCCTGCAATCGTCACTCAGAGCAGCTGTTGCAGACATGGGTAAATGCCCACGGAAGAATACTCAAGGGAACAAGAGTAACTGGATCACACCACCACTCTCCTTTTCCATCCACCATCTTAGTTTCTTTATTTATTGTCTCCACAGAGGTGGCATCCACCACACTGTAGGCTTGTTCAGCAAAGTATAGAAGAAAATATAAGGGTCTGAAAGCAAATAACTGTCCATTCTGGAGCACCAGATAAAGGAAACACCTGCAGTCAGTATTAAATCTAATATATTTGAAATAGATGTTTAGTTGAACATATGTATACAATGTAGTTGAAAACTGAGTTTTTTGCATTAAAATATTTTCACAAGTTGTAACATGCAAGGCTGTTTCTAGTCTCTGAATATCCTGAAGTGTCCTGTTCCCACTGATGTCAGTGGTAGTTTTGCCACTGACCTTTACAGAAACATTCCAAGTGTTTAGCAGTATTCAGGCATCCACCACATTCTATGGATATCAATTATGCAAGTCTTTTGGGCTTGATGCCACAACCCTCACTTTCACATGTTGCCTTCCAGGCGCCAGGACTGCTCACATAAGTAAGGGCTGCAAGTCTGCACCCTAAATATGCCTGCACATTGCACAACTCAAAAAAACAAACGATTTTTTTTTTTAAGTTTTGTTTACGCTCATACATTTTAGTTTCAAGTACAATAACCCTTCTTAAAAAACAAGACGACAGCAATGTTCAAGATAGAAAATCAATCAGAAAAAACTACTTGTATACTATTTTCCCATTACAAAGTCCAGGTGAAGTGTAACAACTAATGTAAACTTAATTTGTAAGTGTCTTCTCCTTTTCCTTTGCTATCAGTAACTTTTCAGGTAATTTCTTGGTTATTCCCATGCCACTAGTAAATTGATAGAAACTGCAACAAGCCTTAAATCCCGTTTGATCCCAACATATTCTTTATCACAATGTTTGTTATGCTCTGCCCTTGCAGCTTCCAGGAACCATCTAACACAAAACATCATGTAATAATTTTCAATATAGATATAACAAAGATAGAGCCATTATTTATGGCTAGCATGTGATATCTAAGTGTGGTCAATATATACTATATACCATAGTAAGCACACTACACTCAGAATATCCAGAAGCCCATACATACTACATGGAAAAAACACAGTAACTACTTCAGACACTAGTTAAGAACTGGGGGCCAGATTCTACCTCCCTTTATGTAGGTGAAAAATCAGGAATAACCGACAGCCAAAGTTGGCCCTCACTATTTAAAATGAAAAACCACTTAAATCCCATGTAAACCGAGGACTTATCAGGCGGTTTTCAAAAAGCAGTTATTATGGACTAAGCATGCAAGATAAGTTTAAAAGATAATTCAAATGGAACAGCACAACCAAATTTTCTACACTGCTGTGTTTTTTAGTGTACCTTTAAATAAAAAATAAAAAAAATCAGCCTAACGGGTCCAATCCTATTAGGTAAAAAGTGCTTCCTAAAAGGGGACAGATACTCCCCTACCACTGTCTGGTTTGCATTCTATTTAAAGTAATTTTTACTTCTATTCTGATCATTTGCATGCCACATTTCAGCTTTAAACCAATTCATATGCTATGACAGAAAATCCTGTAACTATGACCACATTGCAGGGCACTGCTGCATTACTATTCAGGTTTTTTTTTTTTTTTTTTTTTTAAACCCTTGTGAAAGGTGCCAGATTGAAAGCCCTGAAGAATGGCTGGCCCTCAGAAAAGAGAGGCAGCAGTAGGGCTAGATTCACATTGCATGCCCATTTGGCTCAACCCTAGCCAGGTTTCTAGTGCAATCTCCAGATCCATTCAAATCCTTAGCCTCTCCACTGAGACTTCCCATAAATATGCCAATTATGATAACAGCTTTTGTGATATGGGCATGTGGTCACTAGGAACCGGATTGACACTAGTTTATTTCATGTACTCTCCCAAAATGCCACCACATGTTAATGACTTTCAGACAATACAGAGCTGAGTAGGATCCAAACTGTTGACCTCCAGGCAAACTATTCTGTAACCCCCATTATCAAGTCTCTCTGCCATGCCCTTTCAGGGGAAAAACAAACCAACAAGCTTTAATTTCCATCATATCTGCTCCTTAGTTTACATATTTTATTATACATAATCCATTTCAGAGATTTGTTCCAGAGAGCGCCATGAAAACTCATTTACACAAAGCAAGTGTTAGACCAACTTTATTTCCTAATCAGGTATTCTTTAAAGGGAGGTTGTGATGGGGTTTACAGACCCCACACAAAGGTTAAGGGAGTGAAGGAGCAGAATAGGGCCCACCAGGCCCTGCCCCTCAGCAGCTGCAGAGCATGCTCCAAAAGGAGGGCCTGCTTAAAAGGGGACTCTGACAGTCAAGTGGGGGAAGAATGAAGGAGAGGCTGTCTGCATGGAGGAGGCCAGTTTGCAGCTTCTGGGACAGAGCAAACCACAGGAGAAGGGTCTGGACTGTGGGTAAGACCTAACTGGGAGGCTGGGGGCCTGACCCTTTTTCCTCCTCTGCTCCCTGACAAGGGAGAATATCTGAACATTGAGAAGTGAGCTACCCCTTTGACTATCTGAACTGCTGAGACTTATGGGGAACTCTCCGCTGGGAGGGGGCAGAGTGCTGCAATCATCCTCCAAACTGAAGAGAGAACGGGGCCCAGAGGACGCTGGTCTGGGTGTATCAGCAAGAGACGCTCCTCTCCCCTTTCCCTTTGGGCTGGGATCTGGTGGAGAGGAAGGGCCAAGGTCTTTCTACCTTCTCCCCTCCCCTGGTCTGGAGAATCCAGAGAGCACCAGGGAACAACGGACCGTAACTCAGCCACCATGCCCATGGACCGTCCAAGCAAGGCCATCTCAGGACTTTGGGGACTGTTGAGTCATGGCATGCCTACTAGGCCTGTTAGCCCCAAGTCAGCCCACTACAAAGATCCTATTTGGAATTTCAGTTCAAACCTTTGTAACTCAAGATCCAAAGTACTGTAGGTTTCATCATGTAAATCTCATCATGACTTTATTTCAAAATATAGTGTTGGAAATTTAACGTCCAGGTCAGATTTGGATATCAAATTTATAAATCTGCCAAAATCTCGTTTACAAACTAGTCTCTTCACACATTCTGACTGGAATATTATAATGTCTGTCGTCTTCAGTTATAAGAGTCACCACAGGCCAGTCCTCCTCTGGGTCATTGGGATAAAGTGTGATGAATTCATCAGTGCTGTATTTATACAATCGATAAACTCTGATGGTATAGTGCAGAGCATATGCAAGAAGAAACATTTCCACCTGGGTTGGAAAAACAAAACAAAACAAAAAACGAACAATTAGAATGTAATCCATAATACTAATGTATATTTTTCAGGAGTGTTATTCTGTATAAGACGACCCTTAAAATGGACAACGAAGCTCAGATACTGAGATTCCCTTGCATGGGGAAATTCGCTGAAATCCCATCCTACGGATAGGCCATCCTCAGGGCTCAAGTACACAACCATTTCACACTGTGTGCTCATTAAAATTTTTGGCTATACTGTTTTAATCTCAAGTGCTTAAGGCAGTGAAATAGTTTGTTCGAATGTTTGAAAATCAAGCCACTTCATTTCAAAATGAGAGCTATGTGTGTTCAAAGCTTTTGAAAGAAATAATGCCACTTATTTCAGTGCTTAAGGTACCTAACTTTAAGCATTCAGGATTGAAAATTGTGGACCTATACCGTTATATTTCCTGAAAAGAGGCTACCAACCACTGAATGCTCCGTTACTCCACTGAGACAGATAGGAGTCAGTCCAAGTGCACTAGATGTTCAGAATTCAGTCTAAGACATGTACACCTCTACCCCGATATAACGCAACCCAATATGACACGAATTCAGATATAACGTGGTAAAGCAGCGCTCCGGGGGGGGCGGGGCTGCACACTCTGGCCGATCAAAGCAAGTTTGATATAATGCAGTTTCACCTATAACGTAGTAAGATTTTTTGGCTCCATAGGACAGCGTTATATCGGGGTAGAGGTGTAATTACAAGGGGTTCGGCTAGATTTGACTCCCCTTGGACAAAGCCTGAATTCTTACATTTAAAAACCAAAAACTGTTTAAAGCACTTTGATATACATTTGCTTTAGTATAACTAAAGCAGCATTTAATACCTGCTATTATTTTTTAAACTTACACAAGAGAGTTGTAAGGCTGAGGGGTAACCTCTGCTTGACGCTCCTTGTGCTGTATAAGTTTGATTATTTCAGGACTTTAGTTTCTGGTGCTACACATGTTAAAAGCAGTAACATTCTCTTTATAAAAGAAATATAGTTTTAAAAAATGGGAATACCTATGCACTCAGAATCCATGTCCCAACTCCTCTTTAGATCGTTTAAATGTCCCTTGACAGAGTGAAACAAGGACGACTGCACAAATAGCTGGAATAGAGTTGAATTGTGCCCCAACAGCAGCAGTGCAGACATATGTTGCTCAATAAAACTCTAAGGCATGGTACTTCCCCAGGAAATGCCAGGAAGAACATGAGTGTTGCGCCACCACCACCACACTTGAAGGTACTACGGGCATCCACTCACATCTGCACCCAGCCAATTCTGCCAGTTGGAGCAAGGTTGATGGTAATTTTTGTATGCATGCAGGTTAGGGCCATTGCCCCCCCCTCATTTAGTAGAGACTAGCACGGTCAGCAGCATTAGCCTCTGCAGTCCTTGGTGCTCAGCAAGTACAAGAACCTTATTAGGCCTGTTGCCTGCATGGATGTGAGGTAGCAGAGGAAGAGTTTCCCCCATTGCTTCCCACCTGTCTTGTGAACTCATACAGGGCCAGGCATACCCTGTTCTAGTTATAACTTATTATCAGAACAGTCTCATTCATTTCATTAGGATTAGTCACTGAGTAAAGTTCAACTCCATGTGAGTACGGGTGACAAAGCTGGACCCCCAAAAAAGTCAACAAGTTAAAGGCAGGTGATAGTTCCACCTTTTCAAGTAAAGTCGGCTAAGCACCTAGTCAATGAGAGATTAGTACAAAAACTTAAATGGGAACAAGATCCGGTCCTTAGCTATTATTAACACATGCACAGTTGAGCACTGCACTTAGGGTTTTTATCCTGCAACTACACTTCTGAGGGCAGTTCCACTGATTTAAGGAATCCGGTCTTCTTTTGAGATCAGGTTCCCTGATTTTTTTAAAATGTTTGTACCACCTTTCACACCAATATCCTCATTAACCAGTTTGTGATATATACATTAAGTCATGGTTCATTTAGGTAGCTGCAATTCCTCAAGGATGAATTACACCTTTTTCAGGTAATCAAGACCAGTAAAAATGTCTATCAGTCAGAAAATGGATTTATTATGCAGTTCTTGTTTCATATATGTTTCCCTTATGTAATTAATTTGGTACTGTTAGCTTTTCATATATACTTATCTTTATTTTGACATTTAAAATCAACATTTTAAATAAAGAGAAGTGGCCTGTTCTGGTACAATAAGAATCATGGAATACTTCAGTTACTTTACTAAAAAAAACTATATGTATAAAAATATGAGCAAAATGTGTTATCTAGGAGTTATACGCTTCAGAAAACGGGGGTTTACAATTATGAGCACAGACTCTTAACTAGATCACCATTAACAAGTACTGCTATTATTCCATTTACTGAGCAGCTACCTTTTTACAAGCATCAAACCACATCAAACTTAAGCTGCTACAGCTTTGCTGATTTCCAAAGCATTTCAGAAAATGTTTTCGTGTTCTGGTTAGTTCTGCTTCTACCACAGCAGGAAAGTCCTAGACACGAGAAAACTGCCATGTATACTAGAAGGCATAAATAGCTCTCCTTACTTGCTCAAGGCCTCCAGTGTGACCTATTTGATTCAAGTGATTATTCATTAGCTGACTGGGGCTGCTGGATGTATCCCGGGCAAACAATAGCCATGAGAACACTGGTACTTTCTTTCCTTTTTTATCATCATCATACAATTCAATAGCTGTGTTCAGCATCAAAAATTTCACAGCTTCATAGAGACTGTACTCCTCCTCTTCATTTGAGAACAATTCATCACAAGCTGCTTGTCTCGCTACAGGACTTTTCATTTCACTCATACTCTCCCACTATAAAAGCAAACATAGTATTATCAACATAAGTGACAGCAGATCATTCATAATTGCAAAAGGAAAGAAGGACCTTCAAGTGTAGATTGACACATTTTCAGCACAGCTACTTTGAATTAGATGTATAAAGGGCTCTCATGCCTTTTTTTTTTTTTTTTTTAAACTTAAAAAAAAATAAAATCTATTTATTTTAAATACTCCCATAGCTGTAGCCGCTGCTGTCTTTTTCCTGTAGCAACAAGAATCTGATGAGGCCAAGATCAATAGAAAGAAAAGGAAAGGGGAAAAAGTAAGGCAGAATGGGGTGGAGAGACAGATTCTGATAGGAGAGAGGCAGTAACCTTTTCATTGGCTGTAACAATACCTATAGTTTTCATATTCTCCCTGCATCTCAAATACCCGCACTGCTTTAGTTATTTTGCTCCGAATATTCTTACAGAAATTGCATAAATATGCATATAAGCAAATATTAGCATTTGAAGTAGTAAATCTGTGCCTATTTAAAATGTTTAAAATAAAAATGTAAACATATGCACACAGAAGACATGAATAAAGGAACCATTAAAACATTCCATTAAGCCAGGGGTTCTCAAACTGTGGGTCGGGACCCCAAAGTGGGTCACAACCCCGTTTTAATGGGGTCACCAGGGCTGGCTTAGACTTGCTGGCGCCTGGTGATGAAGGTGAAACCCAAGCTCTGCAGCCTGGTGATGAAAGTGAAGCCCAAGGGCTTCATCCCTGGGCCATAGGGCTCAGGTTACAGGCCCCCTGACTGGGGCTGAAGCCCTTGAGCTTTGGCCCCCCAACCCAGGGCAGTGACGGTTGGGCTCTGGGCCCCCCCCCAACCTGGGGCAGCAAACTCAGGCTTTGGTCCCCACTCCTGGGGTCATGTAGTAATTTTTGTTGTCAGAAGGGGGTCGCAGTGCAATGAAGTTTGAGAACCCCTGGAGTAAGCAGTTTCCATACTGTAATACGAAAAATCAAATGCTAATCGATAAAGAGTACAGCACTTGGGAAATGTTAGATGATAAATGCTATAACGGCTATATGTACATACATAAACACACAAATGATAAGGGGAGTAAAGACTCATTTTGCTATGATTCAGTCATTCTATCACTGCTTGCAGCCATCCATCACCCCACTGCCTCTCAGGTACTAAGAGAGTTTGTCCAATAGGGAACACACCTCTGCTCTAACTACGGATGTACGGTAAACATGAACCGAAATATTGAGCGCGAACCTAGAACTATGTATTTATAGTAATAAAATGTTATGTTGACAGACTAGTCCATGCATCAGCTAATTCAAGAAGGTAAAAGAAAGTTCCCACAAATTAGGAAACACAAGAAGATTCATTAAAAATGTCACACTGTAGTGGTGCAGTATAGTTCCTCACACCCTTCTGGTATCTTACATTTATATAGCATCTTTCATCCCTAAGGCTCTAAAAACACTTTACGTGGTACTACATAAATGCAGGAAATCCTTTCACCCCTGGGACTCAGAACAGCAGCTAGATGGAGTGCCAGTAGACCGCTTAACAGCAATAGTGAAGGGGTAGATGGAAAATATTGGACCAGAGTGCCAGGACAAACCTCCAACTCCTTAGAAACAAGGGATTTTTCCATGCCCATGAAGACTAGAAATGTCCTGTTTGTGAGGTCTCATCCAGAAAGCACACAGCTCTTCCCCAAATGAACTCTCTTACTTGGAACACAATTATCTACCTAAGTAGGGTGAAAGGCTGAGTCACCCTCACAGGAGTGTTACACTACCAAGTAGGACCATATAACGAATTGTGGCACTAGGTTAGTGCAACACTTACTGTGTTGCAGTAATACAACCCACATTGTCTCAAGCTGCCTCCTTCATTATGTGTATATTATGTTCATCATAACATGAAGGTCTGATCAGTTCCATAACTGTATGGCAGGAATATCTTGGTAAAACTGCTCCGGGAATAGGTTAAAGTCTTCCCACTTTTCTTGTGCTTTTAGGCAAAGAAATACTATGCCTCAACATGGAAGGGGTGAATTTGAAGATTTAAATATTAACTTAATACTAAAGAATTCTAAATTCCATTTTCTATTCTTAGACATTTTCTATTGCCTTTAATTGGTGTCAAATTCCAGATATGTTAAGTAATTAATTACCCTTCCTAGAACAATAATTTTACTCTACTAGAATTTAGGTTGAATTGGTGGAGAGCTAAACATACTTATTTGTAACTCACTAAGGAAAGTGAACATATAATTTATCCAACCTTCTTCCTTAGAAGTATTAAGTAGTCTTTAATTTCGTCACTTAGTTCTCCCATCTTCCTGCCCAGTTTCTGTCTTAGCTGCCACTGTTGGATCCAATCGTATTTGCTCAGCAGTTTTTCTGGAAGCTACAAAGTTGAGAAAAAAAAAAACAAGCAACTTATTAAGTCAAATCTTGGAAGTAAAATTGTGATATTTTACTGAAAATATTGCTACATATTGCTGCTTACAACGGTACCCTCATATTCTTCAAAAAAAAGCTGTTGTGTACAAAAAGTGCACACCAATTTTTTCCCCTTTTAAAAAAAAAAGAAAAAAGAAAAAAAGAACCAACGAGCTTGTTCCATCTCTTGTTGGACAAGAGCTGGAATTAATCAGCAGCTGGGAGATTAGCCCATTACCAGGCCACGAGCCAGTCACATAGCCTTTCCAATAACAAATTTAATTAAAGTGCACGTGAATGGTAACAGTCACCAACTGCTGGTGGTTTGAGGGATTGTGTGAAATTAATATTGGTTCAGTTCCACATTACTAAGAATCTTTTTTTTTTTTAAAAAAAAGGGACAAGCCAAGGACTGAATGGGGATGAGGACTCGGCTAGTGGCATAACACCCAAAACTTAACAATAGACCACTTAGGCCACCTAAATAAAGCTGAGGTAAGGCCAAGAGTTCCCCCCCATATGAATATTTTGTAGTCTTCAATATTCTTGAAGGAAGGCAAAAAGTTTTAGAAAATTGCAAAATATTGTAATCAACTCTTGCCTTCTATTTATCCTTTTTTTTTTGGGCCTACATGCCCAACCCGCACCTAAGGGGTTTCTTAAAACCTTATCAGCACAGCTTATGCTCACGCTGAGTAACAGTCAAAGATTTGCAGCGATTGTGTATTAATTGTCAAATACTAATGAGCTGAAATAATATAGTATTTGAAACTGATTTAGGATCAAATTTTAAGTGGCTTGAGAAAACTAATAGTCCAAAGAAATACATATTCAACCCAAAGTGTCCGGTGTAACTGAACTGTAGAAGCAGTTAACATATGATCAAAGAAAGGCAGACTTGGTTTAAGATTTTCCTTGAAAGAAAAGAAAGGGATAACTTAGGAGATGCTAGCATCCACATCTGCATAGACCCGGATTTCTTAAATATGTAAATTTTACCACAACAGCACAGAAGGATGATTTACTCACCTTGTAGTTACTTGAGTTCTTCCAGATGTGATGTCCCTAGAGCATAGTGCACTTCAGGTTGCACATGCACCCAGGACCAGTGATTTTTCCTTAAGAACGTCCATGTGGTCTATGCATGCACCTACACTCTCCTTGTGCTCTACATTGAGGGAATAAAGGGGGCTGCCACCATCTTAGCTCTTCTCTACAGTTAGCTCTCAGTAGGGGGAAAACCAGGCAGTGGGGAAGGAGGCTGGGTAGTGCACTACACAAGAGGGGTAATACACCCCTAAGAACTCGTTACTGCAAGGTGAGTAACCCATCCTCCTCCTCCAAGTGACTGTCCTGACCTAGCTCTGAAGTGGGGAAAAGGGAGTGCTCCATCATTAACAGTCGCAGCTTGATTTTCCAGCTTTTCCATGCCTTGGATTTGAGCACCAAACAGAAGTTTCACTTCTGTGGAATGTGCGACTCTTCCAGGCAGCAAATGTACTGAGAGTGTCTATCATGGACCAGGATAGCCTCTCTACATGTGAGGCAACATTTAAACCACAGTGAATCAGGCATGCCCCTCACAGGGAAGATTTTCCATAGAGGAAATAAAACAAACCTTTTCAGCAGCTGGTAGCTAACTAATACTAAATAAACTAAGGAGACCAAACTCTGCAAGCGGCTGAAGCATGCACAATGAAGACACACTAAGCTCCGTCTCAGGCTGAGGCAGTTGAGAAAGAACAGAGGTGATTCGCCCATGCAGCTCAGTCTGGAGCACGAAGTTATCATCAGTGCATGCGAAGGCCGAACAGACACTACTAATGAATCTCTCTGATCAAAGGTGCAAGGGTGCATGCACACCAGGGAATTCCCATAGGGTCAAAAGAAGAACCCGAGGGGTTGTGCAGATCCAGAGGGACAGCTGGTGCACAGACAATCCAGGAAGATTTTGGAGAGTGCTGGGGACAACTTCCTGGTGCAAGTGCTGGAAGAACCAGCTAGGGGCCGTACTCCTCTTGACCTACTGCTCAAACAGGGAAGAATTGGTAGGGGAAGTAGAAGTGGGTGGCAACATGGGCAGCAGTGACCATGAGATGGTTGAGTTCAGGATCCTGATAAAAGGAAGAAAGGAGAGTAGCAGAATACGGACCCTGGACTTCAGAAAAACAGACCGACTCCCTCAGGGAACTAATGGGCAGCATCCCCTGGGAGGCTAATATGAGGGGGAAAGGAGTCCAGGAGAGCTGGCTGTATTTTAAAGAAGCCTTATTGAGGGTACAGGAACAAACTATCCCAATGTGCAGAAAGAATAGCAAATATTGCAGGTAACCAGCTTGGCTTAGAGAAATCTTCGGTGAGCTTAAAACACAAAAAGAAAGCTTACAAGAAGTGGAAACTTGGACAGATGACTAGGGAGGAGTATAAAAATATTGCTCGAGCATGCAAGGGTGTAATCAGGAAGGCCAAAGCAAAATTGGAGTTGCAGATAGCAAGGGATGTGAAGGGTAACAAGAAAGGTTTCTACAGTTATGTTAGCAACAAGGTGGTGGTCAGGGAAAGTGTAGGACCCTTACTGAATGGGGGAGGCAACCTAGTGACAGATGATGTGGAAAAAGCTGAAGTACTCAATGCTTTTTTTGCCTCAGTCTTCACAGACAAGGTCAGCTCCCAGACTGCTGCACTGGGCAGCACAGCATGGGGAGGAGGTGAGCAGCTCTCAGCAGTAAAGAACAGGTTAAGGACTATTTAGAAAAGCTGGACATACACAATTCCATGGGGCCGGATCTAATGCATCCGAGGGTGCTGAGGGAGTTGGCGGATGTGATTGCAGAGCCATTGGCCATTATCTCTGAACACTCGTGGCAATTGGGGGAGGTCCTGGATGACTGGAAAAAGGCTAATGTGGTGCCCATCTTTAAAAAAGGGAAGGAGGAGGATCTAGGGAACTACAGGCCAGTCAGCCTCACATCAGTCCCTGGAAAAATCATGGAAGCACTCAAGGAATCCATTTGGAAGCACTTGGAGGAGAGGAAGGTGATCAGGAACAGTAAACAAGGATTCACCAAGGGCAAGTCATGCCTGACCAACCTGATTGCCTTCTATGATGAGAAAACTGGCTTTGTGGATATGGGAACAGCGGTGGACATGATATATCTTGACTTTAGCAAAGCTTTTGATACTGTCTCCCACAGTATTCTTGACAGCAAGTTAAAAAAATATGGATTGGATGAATGGACTATAAGGTGGATAGAAAAAGCAGATGGTCTTCTGGAGCAGAGAAGCGTGCTGAGTAAGTGAAGATAGCTCCACAGCTCAGGTCACAGAAGAAGAGGGTGCTGGCTCCAATGGCAGCCACGACTGCATCAGAAGGAATCATCCCAGTAGCAGAGGGTGCTGCGGTTTGCCCTTCAAAGGAGTCCCAATCCAGTCCTTCCTTGTACCAGGTCATCCTGATACAGAGCATGATGCTCCTGATGACTTGGTAAGGGACAAGGAATTTCTGCCTCTTTTTAAAAAGGCTTGGATGGGTAAGCGCCCTAACCTTTGCTTTTCTGGGCGTGCTTATGTCTCCCTGCCCTGGCTCTGCTCTCCAGAATCTCTTGCAGTCAAAGGTCTTGGAACTCCCCAGGACTGTAGAAGAGGGGCCATTCCTACCTTCTTCAGGCTGACATACAGCAGGGGTCCCTGGCCAGAGGATGGTCCTGCCTTCCTGGCCTCCTCCATGAGCAAGCTTTGGAGCAGAAACTCCCTGGACTGATGACTTCCACTTAGGAACAACCTGTAGATGCCATACCTTGACAGGACAAGTGCTTCCCTCAAGGAGTGCAGACAGGTGTTGTGACAGTGTGTGACCAGGAAGGGCTTATGTCACACACAGTGATTTTTTGAAGCTGGGGATCTTTGGCTTACTCCCCTGCAACCACTGGGAGTTCAGAGTGTGGGGGAGTATTCAAATTGCTCCCTGTCATGGTGGGGTGTTCCAAAATAGAGAACCAACCCTTAAAGCTTGCTATGAAGATTTTAAAAACTACTTACAGAAAAAGCTGAAGTCAGCATGAACACTGAAGCTCAGTTCTTAGGATCTAGGATGAAGACAGTGGTGATCCGGCAGCAACCCCTTTTATTCCCTTAATGCAGAGCACCAGGAGAGTGGGGACACATATGCGGACCACACAGACACTGCTACAGAAAAATCTCTGTTCCTGGGCACATGGAGTATATGGGTAACCTGAAGTAACTATAATTCACTACATAAAGGGACAATCACTCAAAGAGCCACCAAAATTCTATTTTCTTTTTTGGGGGGCATAATTATACAAATATCCATTTGAAGACAAGAATATGCAATATCAGAATCTTAAAATCAGTATATTTTTAATTTTAAAAAACTTTATTTTTTAACTCAGGGTTGAAGTATTGCTAATTGCCACTAATACACCTCCCTCGCATGCACTCCGCTGCTCTCTTTATGCCCACTGCTGAATGAATTTCAGCACAGCACAAAGCTTACTATTCTATTATGGTAATCTACCCTCCTTTTAAAAATTGCAAAAAATAAAAAACCCACAATGATATATGGTTCAACATTTTCCATTTTAAGTTTTTTACAGTCTGATTGGTAGAAAAAAGTTAATATGAAGTCAATATATTTAAAAACCCACCAAGTAGGAATTACACACCTCTAGGAAGCTCTCGTGCTCTAATGCTCTTTGATACAACCCCTCAAAGTGCATGTTGGGAGGTTTCATTTGCAGGAGTGGGTTACCCCTAGAGACTATTTTTATGAAGTCCTTTGTATTGTGCTGTTGCTGCAGATGTAATCCGTGGCAGTATTGCTGTCAGAAGTTACAAGACAACTCTGTCAGTGTACTTCTGCTGAAAAGCTATCATATTTTGGAAGTTTTAAAATTGGATTTAACTAAAGGGATTAGAGCTTTACTGTCTCAAAAGTAGTAGATAATTAGGGCACTGAGCCTTTCTATACCAAAATAGTTCTGCGATTAAAATATACAATTATGACCGTACAATAAAGGAAACAAAATATCCATTTACTACTTGTAATGCCAAATGCACTTGTAATAAAAAGTCAAGGTAAAATATAAATAACATTCAAAACGTGCACGAGTTCCTCAATTGCCCATTGTAAGGGTACTTTCAACTTGTCTCATTAATGAACTATCTGAAGCAAATCAGAATGTTTCACAATAGCATTGTAACAAGAGCACTGTTCAACTGCCAAATACTTTGGCTAAGCTTGCATTAGAGCATCATAGGATAATTTTGACCAAACTCTGCAGACAATGAAAAACACATCTGTCATGGGTTCTGAACGTCGTGTATTAGACCACAGAATCTGCAGTTTCTAGTAGCAACCCCCCCCCCCCTTCTTTTTTTTTTTTTTTTTTTTTTTTAAGTGAATTTACTGCTGGTGAAGCAACAGAATGCAAGTATCAAAAGCCCAAACAGTCTAGTTATCCACATTAGTATAGAAATATTTTTGACATAAGCTTCACCATACTACCAATGCACCTCCAACTTGATGTTTAGGTGTACGAGGGAGTTACTGAACTCAATACATTCTCCCCTTAATACCAAAAGATTACAGTTTCCAAGAGGAACAATACATTTAACCTCAAGGTAGTTATTCACAAACTGTCGAAGCTGCACTGAAGATTAATTCAATGGAAATCTCAAATATTTAATTAAATTAAGGTATATTAATTTTTTTGAATATTGTCGCAAATACAATAAATTCCATATAGTGACTTTCATGCTATATAAAATAAAGGAACCAAGAATAGTAGTTGAAGATGGATGGTCCTGTGGTCAAATAACTGGGCTGTGACTAAGGCAGGGGTAGGCAACCTATGGTACGTGTGCCGAAGGCGGCACACGAGCTGATTTTCAGTGGCACTCACACTGCCTGGGTCCTGGCCACCAGTCCAGGGGATTCTGCATTTTAATTTAATTTTAAATGAAGCTTCTTTACTTTACATACAACAATAGTTTAGTTATATATTATAGACTTATAGAAAGAGACCTTCTAAAAATGTTAAAACGTATTACTGGCACGCAAAACCTTAAATTAGAGTGAATAAATGAAGACTCGGCACACCACCTCTGAAAGGTTGCCAGCCCCTGGACTAAGGAGACTTGGGTTCAGTGCCCAGCTCTAAAAATCACTTTATATCTCTCTCTGCCTCAATTTCCCACCCACCCACCATCTTTAAATCTGGATTAATATTTGTGACAGATATTGCAACTCCATGCAGTATCTTCAGAGACCATTGTATTAAATTTGTGAATGGTTTATATGTGATTATGCTACTCCATGGGAGAGGTTACCACAGCTCCTCTAGGAACTAAAAACTGTGTGTTTGAGTGAGAGTGAGATTATATAGGCACATCACTGAGACTACAACTCTAGAGTTGTACGACTCCCTGGGGAGGTTTGCATAGATGGTTCAAACTGAGTTTTCCAAAGATTCAAACAAAGTGACTTTGGTATAATAAGGTGAGTTTTGAACTGACAGAGGGCCTTCTTTATGGTCCAGCAAACGAATCTGAGCTTTTGTCCAAGGGGGCCGCTATCCTGCGGAAGGGTTCATAGACTATCAGCGTTGGAAGGGACCTCAGGAGGTCATCTAGTCCAACCCCCTGCTCAAAGCAGGGCCAATCCCCAACTATATCATCCCAGCCAGGGCTTTGTCAAGCCTGACCTTAAAAACCTCTAAGGAAGGGGATTCCACCACTTCCCTAGGTAACCCATTCCAGTGCTTCACCACGCTCCTAGTGAAAAAGTTTTTCCTAATATCCAACCTAAACCTCTCCCACTGCAACTTGAGACCATTACTCCTTGTTCTGTCATCTACTACCACTGAGAACAGTCTAGATCTATCTTCTTTGGAACCCCCTTTCAGGTAGTTGAAAGCAGCTATCAAATCCCCCCTCATTCTTCTCTTCTGCAGACTAAATAATCCCAGTTCCCTCAGCCTCTCCTCATAAGTCATATGCTCCAGCCCCCTAATCATTTTTGTTGCCCTCCACTGGACTCTTTCCAATTTTTCCACATCCTTCTTGTAGTGTGGGGCCCAAAACCGGACACTACTCCAGATGAGGCCTCACCAATGCCGAAGAGAGGGGAATGATCACGTCCCTCGATCTGCTGGCAATGCTCCTACTTAAACAACCCAAAATGCCATTAGCCTTCTTGGCAACAAGAGCACACTGTTGACTCATATCCAGCTTCTCGTCCACTGTAACCCCTAGGTCCTTTTCTGCAGAACTGTTGACTAGCCACTCGGTCCCTAGTCTGTAGCAGTGCGTGGGAGTCTTCTGTCCTAAGTGCAGGACTCTGCACTTGTCCTTGTTGAACCTCAGATTTCTTTTGGTCCAATCCTCTAATTTGTCTAGGTCCCTCTGTATCTTATATCTACCACTCCTCCCAGTTTAGTGTCATCCGCAAACTTGCTGAGGGTGCAATCCACACCATCCTCCAGATCATTAATGAAGATATTGAACAGGACCAACCCTGGGGGCACTCCGCTTGATACCGGCTGCCAACTAGACATGGAGCCACTGATCATTACCCGTTGAGCCCATTGGAAGGACATTGCCCTGTTAGGCCCATAAGACAGAGGGATTATATTTATTGATAAGCATGTAGAAACTTTTGTATGTATTCTGTGCAAAGCTTTTGTCCCAAGAATAAACATGCCTGTTGAGACAGAGCTGTGTGGTAACTTGTAAATGCTGGCAATTCACTGTTCACAGCCCTTGGAGAGAAAGCAAAGCCATGTTGTTGGCCTGGAGGAAGACTGGCTTGCTGGGAATACCACACACAGGGGATATGGCAGGCAGCCCCGTAGCCTTAAAAAACCACTATCAGAAGGAAGGAGGACAAGGGTCCCTACCCAGAGACATGTGATGGCTGGAGACCTGAGCCCTGCCTGATCACGCCTGGAATTGAGCACAGAAAAGGAATATAGGTGCAGTTATCTCTGAAACTGTGACAATAGTATGTCCTGATTTCACCAGCATGTTGTGATGATAGCTTCATCAGTGTTTTGCGTTGCTCATGCAGTACAGCAATGAGGCCATAAGATTGCCCAATAGAGAAAAAAAGTTAGTTCTTACTTATCAGGAGATATAAGTTTGAAGCATACCAACGTTAAGTCCTCACTCTGAAGCCAGTCAGGAAGTTCAGAAGTTTGGCTCAGTGCCTGGAACAATGTTGCTCTGAGAGCACAATAGTTATCACCTCGCACTCTCCTTATAGAGGTAAACTTCTGAGAAACTGCTTCATATCCCTGTATAAAAATACAAAATAAATTGCAGTAACTATGCATAAAATACATCAAACCCGCATTAAACCTGACATAATTGCTCAAATTAAATGCCCAAATAACAGATCTATTTAACAGTCAACAGCATTTGGCCCAATATTCCACAGACAAAGCTCAAACGCCTTTGTTTGAGAAATCTAATAGGAATAGAAGCTATTTAAATATAAAAAAAACAAAAACAAACAAACAAAAAAACACAACCACACCACACAGCAGCCAAAGTGAGAAACCAAACCAATCATTAGAAGTAGGAGTTTATTAGAAGGTTCAGGGAATTGCCAAAGTGACTTAAGGAGCACAAATCACAGACTTTCACTGAAACTTGTGCTCCTGACTCTTAGGCACTTTTGAAAATTCTACCTATTGTACCTTTTGGACCAAAGGACATTACTAAAGATGTTGGCTGGACCATGTGAAATATCAGCATCAGAACTAGCACATTAATTAAAACATGCAGAATGATCCTGAACCAGCTGCTTACAACCTGCAGATGTTCTCAATGCAGGAGTTGAGGCTCCCTGGCAGGTAAGTGTGGAGGCATGTGCAGTGACACTGCCTGAAGCACATTTCTGCGTAAATATAGAGGACTCCAGTTTTATAACAGTGTTAAATTAACAAAATTGTTAATTTTACATATTGAAAAAGTAGGTTCTTCAACAATCATACAAAAATTGACATTTCCCCCCTCATTTTTTTAATCATACCCTTTGTTCAGCTACCCTCACTCCACCCTAAAAACACTTTGTTAGATGCCTCCTCCTCCTCCTCCTCCTCCATCGAAGTATTAACTTTTATTGGGGGTTGGGGGGGAGGATTGCAAAAGAGTGTGTATCTAGTAATGTTCTTGCAAGACAGAAAACACCACATAAGCCAAAAGCCAAAAACATGATACAGGATGGTTGTCCCATTGGCACAGGACACCCTGCATGACAGTGCTAAGAACTATGGCAATGGGTGCTTTAGAACTATACACAGACGGATTGAAAAGAAAAAACCTTGAATGGCTCTAAGCAGACTTTTTATTTCTGTTGAAATTGGCAGATACATACAAAACATGCAATCCTCTGGTAAGTATAGCAGACAGTGTTTTGACACCCAGTTGCACAAGTATGACAAAAAACAGCCTTGCTTTAGTTCAGCTGTTACTAAGCAAAATTGCCATAGAAGTGTGTCTTGTTTACACCATACCACACCACACACTTGTTTTATTTAATGCCTGCTTGTATTATTGTATATTTATTTAACACTGCTTGTATTTCTGCTCCAGTATCACAGTTGGTTTTGGGATGTGCTGAAGAGAGGTATTTTTTTTTTTTTAAATCATTAAAAACACACCACACCACACCAGTTCTTGGGGTTTTTTTCCTGTGAGTATAGCCAGTCACTCTGTTGCAGTGCACACTACCAATGCACTCACCAGCAGAACAAGGAAAGTTATCCGGAGGCATGATACCTTATAATCAATTCTGTCCTCATTTTGTCTTTTCTTGGTCAGGCCTGAACTGAACCTCAGCAACACTACAAATTTCATTCAATGGGTCAAATTCTGCTCTCATATCTTGCAATAAGTTGCAAGAATAGAATTTGGCCTAATGACACTTAAAGCCCACTGCACAGTAACAATAAGTACTCAAGGTCAATAAAAAGGCTTTTAAAAGTTGTTTTAAAAATACTAAAAACTGTTTAGGACCCCAAATAAACAGAATGCTTAGATTAAAGATTTAAAAAATAAATCAAATTTAAAACAAGAGCTCTATTCTCTACGTTCTTATTCTTTTCTCATCCCCATAGTCTGAGCATCTTTCAGCAGTTCATTAAGCAACATGACCAGTATTTGTCACGTGTGGTTCATTCTCTTTTACGCTCCCTCCAGCAAAGAAGCGTGTGCATTTGAAGTGCTCTGGTAAATTTCTCCCCACCCAAAATACATACGTTATGTGTTCATATTGAGAAAGCAAGGCCAAAGAACTAAGACTAAGCTGAAGATCAGTTCCTCCTTTGCTTAAGTAAGAGGACCCTAAATCTAGATTCTGTATTCCCCATACTACAGTCAATGGCATTTACAGCTAAAGCAAAGTTTGGCCTTTATTTCTCTCATCAGCTCTCAGAGAAGTAAAAAGTCTCTGTCATTTAAAGGAAAAAAAATTGTATTTTATAAATCTTATGTATTCTGTTAATGATTTTGCAAACTATTTAGCAATCAAAACAGATTTTTAAAATTCTCCCATTCTAGATCTACCTGAAAGTAATGCTGTACCCCTAAAAAAAGATTAATATAAGCAAGAGAACATGCAAAAAAACCCAGCCATTTTTCAAAAGAATTGAAGGCTCAGGTTAAAGTCTCAAACTTTTCTTTTTGGAAGTTACCATTTCTGGTCATCCACCCAGCCTCAGTGGCTTTCAAACTGCAAAGAAAGTGTTGGCAGCTATTTGTTATACACAGATAGAGGGTTTAAAATTGGTGGGCAGGAATCATCTCACTGACCTGGTACCACTAACATTTTCATGACCGAGAGTATCAATTAAAGTGCCTTTGTAGCTATAAAACCTTAATAAACAAAGTCTTTCTCAAAACTCTGTCTGTCACTGCCCTTAGCAGTTAAAGAAAAGTAATGATTAAACTATTGTGTACAGCATGTAGCTCATACCTGTAAGCCAACTCAACATAAAAGAATCATGCACTTAATATGTGTTTCCAGGATATGGGCCTATTTTGGCAAAAAGTTACAAAAAACCCTTCCAAGCGCGGGGGGTGGGGGGGTAGAAGGGAGGGGAGAGAAAGGTGGTCATACCTTTTTCATACGTTTTGCCGCCGGTGTATTTCCTCTCCATTCTTTTTGGCAGTACTCTATGATGTCCATTTCAGGTGCAACACTGAGTTTATTTTCTGCCAAGATTGATCACATTTATATTATTATATACACACACATTAAATTAAGGAAAAGTATAAAACAGAGCTACACAATGAAGTGGTTGTACTTTATTCATCAATACACTCAAAAATAAAACCAGTACTAATCAAAGAGAAGTTGATGTAGCAGAGCTCTAATAATAAAAATAGTATCTTCTGTTAGTATCAGAAGAAAAAAAAAAATGCTCAGGAAAGCAGAGAGCAAGCAAAAATGATGGTGTGATCCAGCAAGGAAGGGACCCCAGCAACTCCCCCTTCTCCTCCCCTCCCACCCCCCGGAAAAAAAAAAAAAAAAAGCATGAGAAGGAAAGGGGAGACTGGTAAACTCTCTCCATCCCTCAGCAGCCAGAGAGAATGAAAGGAGAGCTTCCCTCCCTTCCCTCAAAAAGGGAAGAGACAGAGGTGCAAGAACCCCACCCACATTTATCAAACACTTACTAGTTAAGGCCTGGTCTACACTACGGGATTAATTCGGATTTAGCAGCGTTAATTCGAATTAACCCTTCACCCGTCCACACAACAGAGCCATTTAGTTCGAATTAAAGGGCGCTTTAAATCGATTTCTGTACTCCACCTCGACGAGCGGAGTAGCGCCAAAATCGATTTTGTTAATTCGAATTAGGGTTAGTGTGGCCGCACACCACCGAATTAATGTGGTTAAAAACCGAATTAATGTGCTTAGTGTGGCCGCGCACAATCGAATTTATACAACCTGTTTCCCAAATTCGAATTATCTAAATTCGGATTAATCCCGTAGTGTAGACATACCCTAAGTGTGGTAGGAGAAGTTTATTTCCCTAGGCAGGGCTGAGGAACACAACCCTTCCTGGAAATCCCACCAACTTCTATTCCAAGTAGTTAGTAGCGATGCGCTAACAGTGAAGAACACGGACCATAGATCCCAGGAGTGGGAACTTTCATGTTGCCTATTAGCTAGTAGTGTTTGATAAATTTTTCAAGCCCTGTTACACATGTACAAGCACAACACACAAAGGTCATCCATCATCAACTCTTTCAATTGGGTGTGAGGAAATTTTGAGAGCGAAAGAGAAAAATTACAGGTAGACTGTAAAAGTCTGATTGTAGCCAAAGTGATTTTATATTACAGTTTTCACTGGATGAAAATGTGCATTGTGTTCAACTGTGAGCAGTAACCGCCACCACATTTACACACAGATATAGTTGAGCACAAGATCTTTGCGGATGAGGGCAACAAAGCTAGAAGTGTTATTATAATAATAAGCTATTCTACTATACGTGTGTAATGCCATAGACTAAAGTTCAAATGTACCTGAGGAGCCTGTCTCACAAACAGGTAATACTTTTTCTCTCTCTATTTCTTCTGCATCACGGTACATGTCCTCCTCACTGAAATAACATTGATACACACTTCATGTAACACCATAGATCTTGTCGGCATTCACATTTACTCCATTTCCCACTGGATGTAGTAATTTAAATCATTCTCAAAAATATTACTAGAAAATTCAATGTTTTACGATTATCTACATTTATTATGCATTTTTAAAGGAAATAAAAATCTTAATTATGTGGTGAATGCTTCCCCCCAAAAAAGAGTTAGGTAGATCATATTCTCAGTTCCAGGACATCCATGCCAGTAATAGATTACTGCCTCCTTCCCTAACATGGGCTCTGCTGGTGATGTGAACCCCACTGAAGACCACATGGAATGGTAAAATAAGTCCCCTTTTTATTTTGTAATTATTTTTACAATATTGGCCAACTCTAGCTATGTTTAAAGGGTCTTACTGTTATTTATCATGTGTGATATCACAAGTACTGTAAAAATATATAATAAATTAAAAATACAATACTTACCTTAACCCTATGCACAAGCTCTAACTGGGATTGAACGGCAGCAAAAAGCATGCTAAGGTGTCATACTGAGTAGGAGCCAGTAATCTATGATTGATTTGGATGTCATGAACTTGAAAGACAAAAGCATGTCTTAAATATTGATGTACTGCATATTCCTCTAACCGATTCTGCCAGGCATTCAGCATATAATTACATAATAATCTGACTGTAACACAATCTCAGCCTTACAAAACTTCATGAATATTTACCATCAAGCATGTTATCTACTCATTTGCTCGATTAGAATGTAAAAAAAAATACTTTTACTTGCACTTCAAAATCTTAACACCCCCACACTGCTTGCCATGAGGAAGGAAAAAAAAAAAAAGCAAACATCATACTGGGATGTATTAGGAGTGTTGTAAGCAAGACACAAGAAGGAATTCTTCCGCTCTACTCTGCCCTGATTAGGCCTCAACTGGAGTACTGTGTCCAGTTCTGGGCACCACATTTCAGGAAGGATGTGGACAAATTGGAGAGAGCCCAGAGAAGGGCAACAAAAATGATTAAAGGTCTAGAAAACATGACCGATTAGGGAAGATTGAAAAAAAAAAAAATTGGGTTTGTTTAGTCTGGAAAAGAGACAACTTAGGGGGACATAACAGTTTTCAAGTATGTAAAAGGTTGTTAAAAGGAGGAGGAAGAATTTTTTTTAACCTGAGGATAGGACAAGAAGCAATGGGCTTAAATTGCAGCAAGGGAGGTTTAGGTTGGACATTAGGAAAAACTTCCTAACTGTCAGGGTGATTAAGCACTGGAATAAATTGTCTAGGGAAGCTGTTGAATCTCCATCATTGGAGATTTTTAAGAGCAGGTTAGACAAACACCTGTCAAGAATCGTCTAGATAATTAGTCCTGCCATGAGTGCTGGGGAGTGGACTAGATGACCTCTTGAGGTCCCTTCCAGTTCTATGAAATGTCAGAATTTCAAGTGGTCAACTTTGCATCCTAAATAGCCTTCTTTTAATATGGTTTTCTTACATTTAATTTACTAGATTTTTTTAAAAAAATTTTTAAACAAAAAAGGTTTAAAAAAAATTCATTATGTTCAATGGTAACATACCATTTTCCTTTTGGGAGGAAGGTGACTCAAAGTTTATATGTCAGCCAAACTGAACAGAATTTTCAAGGACAAAGAAAAGGCACTTATCTGGCATCAGAGCTTTCTCCCTGTGGCAGTCTCGGGGTGGGGAGGGGCATGGGAGTGGGGTGGTAGATACTTGCAAGTATCTCTTATAATGGAAGGAGTTTGGTAACCTACATATATAGGGTCAATATCAGCCTCCCCTGTAATAGAGTAGGTTTCCAAAGAGAATTTACAAAAAATGTTTGAGCTTTACTGTCATCACCCAAGATCAAAAGGTGTTGTGAAACTTTAAAATAGTATTTCATCAAATATCTGTAACTAGACATATTAAAGCCATTGTGCCTGTTAACTGTGGATTACTCTAGTGGCTGTCTGAACACCTCTGAGCAAGTACACTGAAAAAAGGAGCCTGTCTGTGATATTTCTGTTAGAAATGTTTCATCATATCTTGGCATGTACAGAAATCTATTTTCAGGTTCCTAAGTCGCAGCTGGTGGAGAGTGTACTCCAAAATAAAATAGATTCTCATTAAAGATTATATATGTGATTAACAGCTTTTCCCCTTAAGACAACTCAGTCTTACCAAGATTTGTCACAGAAAACAATTCTGTCTATTTATAATCTATTTATGATATTGCTTGAATCTTCAGGAAGGAGATTTATGGCTCTGAGTATAAATAGTTAAATAGGACTATTTAAAAGCAATTAATATTCAGATAATGTTGTGATGCTAACAATTTGGTGTCTTCCAAGGTTGTCTGAGCCTCCTTGAAGAATCTTGGTTGAGTCCTACTTTATACGTAGTACAGATAATCAGTTCTGTCAGATATGAGATTAAAATTCATAAGCATAGATGCGTAAACTTGGAAATCAAGTTGTATTTAGCTATGCAGACTTTCAGTCATTTAGTTTCAAGTCTTAGAAAATTCTAAATTGAAACTGTTGTAGGTCTTCTGCTCTATAGATGAAAGTTTGCTAACCTCCACTATGTTTGGCCACAGCTAACTTTTTTTTTCTGGCTAGTGGAGAGCAAAGTTTTTCTGAAAACAAATCTTATAATTTATGCCATAACATTGTGTAACAGGCTGTTTATGGCATTACTGTTTTCAGAATAAAAAGATCCCTCCCCACAATAATCATGGAAATTGTCCTAAAACCCTGATAACTGTACTTTTAAGCACAGTTGTGGGTAGCATGTTCAGACTGGTGTGGAGAGGACTAATGAGTTAGGCCATGAAGGTATTTCTGCAAATAACTTCAGAAATTGTAGTTCATTTTTGTAAGATAAGTGGGCATAGACTTGAATAAAAGAAATAAAGAGCTATAAATAACAATGTTGTTAAGGCTATAAATAACAAAAACCATATTCTTAAAACTTTAACAGAACATATCCAGTTATCACCTGACCACATCAATCAGTTTGTTGTTCCTTTTCCCTCTACCCTTCAGCTGTGTGTCTTGTTCAGGGTGTAAGCTCTTTGGGGAAGGACACTACTTTTGTTTCTGTTTGAACAATGCCAAGCATATTGTGGGCACTGTACTGGATGCTAATTAATAATACATAGAAGCATAGACTAGAATAATTGCTAGTAGAGACTAATACATAGCAGTCTTGTACTTTTTTGGGGGGTAGGGGGGCCCCCAACAGCGTTACACTGTTGACTCATATTTAACTTGTGGTCCACTATGATCCCCCAGATCCCTTTCCGCAGTACTCCTACCTAGGCAGTCATTTCCCATTTTGTATGTGTGCAACTGATTGTTCCTTCTAAGTGGAGTACTTTGCATTTTCCTTATTGAATTTCATCCTATTTACTTCAGACCATTTCTACAGTTTGTCCAGATCATTTTGAATTTTAATCCTATCCTCCAAAGCACTTGCAACCCCTCCCACCCTGGTATCGTCTGCAAACTTTATAAGCTTACTCTCTATGCCATTATCTAAATCATTGATGAAGAAGATATTGAACAGAACCGACCCAGAACTGATCCCTGCAGGACCCCACTCGTTACGTCCTTCCAGCATGACTGTGAACCACTGATAACTACTCTCTGGGAATGGTTTTGACCAGTTTTGCACCCACCTTATAGTAGCTCCATCTAGGTTGGATTTCCCTAGTTTATTTATGAGAAGGTCATGCGAGACAGTATCAAAAGCTTTACTGAAGTCAAGATATACCATGTCTACCACTTCCCCCCATCCACAAGGCTTGTTACCCTGTCAAAGAAAGCTATCAGGTTGGACTGACGCAATTTGTTTTTGACAAATCCATGCTGACTGTTACGTATCTCCTTATCTTCTAGATCGGGGTTGGCAACCTTTCAGAAGTGGTGTGCCGAGTCTTCATTTATTCACTCTAATTTAAGGTTTCGCGTGCCAGTAATATATTTTAACGTTTTTAGAAGGTCTCTTTCTATAAGTCTATAATATATAACTAAACTATTGTTGTACGTAAAGTAAATAAGGTTTTTAAAATGTTTAAGAAGCTTCACTTAAAATTAAATTAAAATGCAGAGCCCCCCGGACCGGTGGTCAGGACCCAGGCAGTGTGAGTGCCACTGAAAATCAGCTCGCGTGCCGCCTTCAGCATGCGTGCCATAGGTTGCCTACCCCTGTTCTAGATGTTTACAAACTGATTGCTTAATTATCTGCTCCATTCCATCTTTCTGGGTACAGAAGTTAATCTGACTGGTCTGTAATTCCCTGGGTTGTCCTTATTTCCCTTTTTATAGATGGGCACTATATTTGCCCTTTTCCAGTCTTCTGGAATCTCTCATGTCTTCCATGACTTCTCAAAATTAATCGTTAGTGGCTCAGATATCTCCTCAGTCAGCTTCTTGAGTATTCTAGGATGCATTTCATTAGGCCCTGGTGACTTAAAGACATCTAATCTGTCCAAGTAATTTTTAACTTGTTCTTTCCCTAGTTTAGCCTCTTCTGATCCTACCTCATTTTCACTCGCATTCACTATGTGAGATGTCCAATCACCACCAACCTTCTTGGTGAAAACCAAAACAAAGAAGTCATTAAGCACCTCTGCCATTTCCAAACTTTCAATTGCTATGCAACCTTATTCTGCTTTCCTGTGCATATATACATTAGGATACTCCTTAGTTACATGATCACATGCTATTTTTTCAATTCAGTGCACAGGATGGACGGAACTCAGTTGTGCGCTGAATGAGATGTTTGTAAGATCTCTGCCTCATATGCTGCAGAAGCTGGGAGGTGTGTAGTGAATGAGACAGTGGACTGAAGGAAGAAAAAGGGTAATCTTATGGTTAAGACTGATGAACACCACATAGGAGCACTCATTTGTATCCCTGCTTCCATTAGAGTTTCTATGTGATACTGAGCAAGTCTCTTAAACCAAAGTGTTTCCAGGTAATTGTGTTCCAAAATTTCCCAGGTGCCCAACTTTAATCATCCAGGGCCTGATTTGCAGGAGTGCTAAGCACTCACAAACAACTGCAGATGAAGTAAATGGGAGCTGCAGATGTTTAGCATCTCTGTCAGTAAGGCAGTGTGGTCTGGAAAAATGAACAAGAAACCAATGGATCATCTGCCTCCTGTATATCACAGGACATCAACACCATCCTGCATCCATCCACACATTAAACCCAACAACTGAAGTTAGCCCAAAGTATTACACCCTCAGGAGGCTAGACTATTGTGTGCCACGGGCAAAACAGGAGGGACCGAGGTGCACCATAGACCTAAGCACCCCACAATGGCAGGGAAATGATTAAGTGAGATATACCTAGATGATCTTGGCAGGTAACCGCACCCACACGCTGCAGAAGAAGATGAAACCCCCCTGAGGACACTGCCAATCTGACATAGGGGGAAATTCCTTCTCGATTCCACATATGACAATCAGATCCTGAGCATGTGAGCAAGAACTAGCCAGCCAGAGAGAATGCTCGGTGCCACCTCAGAGCATTTGTCCACCCAGCCCAGTGTCCCATTTCTCCAGCTGTGGCCATCTTTTATCCTTCAAAGGACCAATTTAAAAAAAAAAAATAAAAATCAGAATACATTGTGGGGTGAGGGGGAGGATCCCTTCCTGACCCCTGAAGGTGGCCAGCTGAAACCCTGAAACATGAGATTTTAGGAACATGAGACATAAGCCAGAAGTGAGCCTCAGGGCTGCTGAGCTCTGCCCCCTACCATTACGAACAACCTCGTCATACAATCACACTCATACATTTGTCCTGCTCTCTCAAGTTGTTTTTCCCCACAACTCCTACTGGTAAGTCTAGAAGTCCCGAGTACTTATCTCGGTTCTGACACTCATTCATTGTGTGGCCTCAGGCAAATCTCTGTCTCAGTTTCCATCTGCAAAATGGGGATAATGTTCTCATCTCTCAGTGGAGATCAATTCATTAATGTTTGTTTGTGAGGCACTCTGATATTATGGGAATGAGTGCCCTACAAAAAGGCCAGGAGGAAATGAATAACTCTGTATTCACAGCAGGCTTTGGATGGTATTCAGTAAATAGATATGGGATCAGTAAGAGTTATAAGAATAAAAATATTGGACAGCTACCTCATTCTCTTATCACTATCCAATCTGTGCACTGAATGAGGCAGAGGGTCCTATGGGAAAAAAAAAATGCTCTGGAATACAGGCTTTAATTAACTGCCTGTATACAAAAGAACAAGGAAGGTGAACTGAAGTTAAATGAGCAACCTAACTTCTGACACCAAGTTTCCAGTGTTCAACTTAGCAGTCTAAAGAATGTTGTTTTTTTCCAGGAATGTTTTTTGTATGTAATAGTTAATTGATTTCAGGGCAAGATAATAGCCAATTCTTTTAGGATATTGCCCCACTTTCTGCTGGCAGGGTGTCAGCAAAATTGGTGTGAGCAGCACTTGCTTTAAAATTGAGTGAAAAACACTCAAGTTGAGTGTACACAAAAAAAGGTTGCACCCACTGCAATTTCTGTGTGTATCTGGGTCAAAGGAAGAGAGAAATTTCTTCTCAAAACAGGTGCCATTAGAAAACTTGAGAATACAATGGGCATAAAGGAAGATGACCTGAATAGAACAAGAACCCCAAACAGGCTGTAAGTAAATCTTCTACTTTAAATTCAAACAAACATTAATAGTAGTTCTTAAATAACACTTTGATGAAGCAGATTTTGTTCTATTGTAAAAACAGTCAGGAAGGAAGATGGTACCCAAGAACTTTAAAAGGGGGAAAAAGAGCTGCATGTTGTACACACCAGGATAAAAATAACCCCAGATATTTGTAGGAATCTTAATGGATAATATAACCGAAGTGCGAAGAGGAGAAATGGTAAGGATGGAATACCACAAACTAAGGCAGACCAAGAATTTTCAGAGCGGACAAAGAAAAAAAAAAGATTAAAAAAACCCTACAAATGGGGGGGGGAGGGGGGAGACAATAGCCCAATCCTGCAAACAATTATTAATATGACTAGTCTCCATTTACTTCAACGGGACTACTAAACAAAGAAGCGTTACCAGGACTGAGATCACAGGATTCAAAATACTGTATGAAGCATCAGAGGGGGGGGAAGTTCCTGTTTTATTGCATTTTCAATACAGTTAATTACCATTTTTATTTTACATTTTTAAAATGAGATCTTATTAAGGGAGGATTATGTAAATCCTTTTTAATGATGGTGATGATTAGATGTATTATTCATAATACTGGTAAGTCCAGATACTCAACTGCATAAATTATATAGAAGCACAAAAGCCTTTGTTACACAGCAACAGCTAATTTCAAAAATTAAAATAAATGAAAAATAGAGGAGGCGGACTTCATGAAGTCTATGAGATCAATCTACTAGAAAACAGAAAAACTATTTTGTGCTGGAAGTTTCAAATACATAAAATTGCAATACTTGTTTAAGGGGATTACTTAAGTGGCAAGTTTGTGAAAACATGAAATAAGTAGCATTTTCAAGCCAATATTCATACTTATTCACTTTTCTCAACTAAAATTAAAAATAATGCTGTTTGATGAGCGCCTTAGAAAGCACCATGAGGAAATGAATAATTTTGTACTCACTGTACACATTGGATGGTGTTTAGTAAATAAGGCATGGGTCATGGAATAATGAGGGTAAAGCACTTCCTTGCTCTACCATTTTATCAATCTATACGAAGGAAAAGGAGCAGCCACATTTATATTTATTTATTTTCTTTTCACTTTCCACTATTTATAAATACCCATTTAAAACGTCAATAGGTTCATTTCCCTAATGATTCCCACAGGCCTCCCACTTTGAGAACACCAGTTTCTCTTTATGGAGCCTTTGCAGCAAATCCTCACTCAGACAAGTAGTCCCCAACTTTATCTTACTTCTCTTACTTGCATGAGATCACAGATTTGGGCCTGAGGTTTTATATATAGATATATCGAGAGAGATTATTTCTGATCCTGCTCTCACTTCAATAAGGGCTTGTCTACACTCAAAATGCTAGAGCAGCACAACTGCGCTGCTGCAGCTATGCCAGTTGCACTTCAGTGTAGACATTACCTATGCCAACGGGAGGGATTCGCCCATCGGTGTAGGTAATCCACCTCCCTGGGAGGCGGAAGCAAGCGCGATGGAAGAATCCTTCCACTGACCTAACAGTGTCAACGCAGGGACTCAGGTTGGTTTAACTACACCACCCAGGGATGTAGATTTTATCTTATGCCAACCTAATTTTCTAGTGCACACCAGGTCTTAGAGTTTTGCCTTTGTTCTTGAGGGAAGCAAAATGTTCCTTCTTCACATACCAGCATTCCTCTATATTTAAGTCAAAACTTTCTTTAAAAAGTCAGGGTCAACAGATCAAAACTCTAGAAATACGCAGAGTTGGAAAAGTTCTGGGAATAAAAACTAGTTCATTAAACTAATCCTGAAGATCCAGCAGAGGGTGCTCACAAAATGATCGGCTAGTTCCCATCCTGCCATCTGCCCACCTCCCCATTTTTTCTTAATTTCTCCTTTTAAAGATTGCAGATGATGTTTAAACCCATCTACTCTTGTGGGCCTTGCAGACAGAACTTCCACTGAGTACAAAATATCAGAGCATTCTTTCATAGCAGATACTAAGAATTTTAAGATAAAATATATTCCTATTCCCAGTAGTTAGCCCCTGCCCCTAGAATTAAGTGTTTATAAAAGATTGGTTCCTTGGTTTACAGTACCACCTTGTATTCCTACAATTCTCAAGGCCCTGCATCCAGCCTAAAGGTCTTCAAAGCTCATCAGCACTTCTTCTAGACTGGCCAAAGGGGACTGCTATGGAGTACCAAGAGGTCCATCTACACACAGGTTACTGAGATGCAGCCAAATCCCTTCAACTCAGGAAGTGAAAGATTCAAGCTAAGTGTCATGCAGCAATAATGCACACTAATTACCTGCACACAACTATTAATTCCTTTGGCATTTATGCCTATTTTACTTACATTAATATTAAAAACAGAAGTTAAAATACCTGATTTGCAGCAAACTTTCGATAAAAAACTCACTTGTCTACAGAGGACTCCTTTGCTGAAGAGCTACTTGATGCCGACAGCTTTACTTCACAGTTTTTATGGGAATCGTGGCTGGTCAGGGATGCCTTCAGGTCATGTGCCTGAGCAGTTTTTCCATGTCCTGAATGTGCACGTTCTTTTTTGGTTTCTAACGCAGGTTTGTCTTTCTGGTCACCAGCTGCACTTGCTGAAGAAGGTTCATCACTGGGAATATATTTTTCCTTTTCATGTCTAGTCAAATTTATCATTGCAGTATCTTTCTTCTGTGTCTCTTCTGCACTAGCCGAAGGGCCAGTGGACTTGCTTGTCCTTCGCTGAAACATACCCTGGCTTTGAAATACATAAATATGTAAGGTACATTCATGAGGATGAATGAGTATATTTTTGCCAAAGGTACAATGTTTTGACACAAAATATTTCCTGGCTGTCCTCAATGTCAGAAAATTTGGATATGAAGAAGATGTATTAGATCTAGCCAGCGCAGGATTCTTAGCTACAGTGTCTATTTTCTAACATGATGGTTCTCAAACTTTTTCATTCTACAGACTACTGCTTAAGCTAAAGTTGCTCTCTTTAGACACCTGCCCTTTCATATACCAAGTATCCCCTAAGACGCCATTGGAATTAACCAATAGTCATGCACAAGTCTAAGAATCACTATTCTATTGCTTTATCCATTTCAGTTTTAAATTACTCCAGAGAAGGGACTTCTAGTGCTTTATAGATATCACAGAAAAATTTATATGTATCAGAAATAAAAATACAAACCCAGAAATCATTTCTAATATTGTGAAGTGTATTTACAATAATAGACATGAATTGCACCTCTTTACAATAATAGACATGAATTGCACCTCTTTCCTGCCACTTCTGTCCTTATTTCCTGCTACACTTCTCCTTGCTTTATACATTGTCCTTTAGCAACTCTCCTATTGTTCCCTTTAGCATTTGCCTTTTTCACTCCTACCATTTGGCAATCTCTCAATTAATGAATCCTGAGTCCAACTCCTGCAGGACATTTCTGAAAATCTACATATTCTGCTAAACCTGATAAACAGACATCATTTTATTCTATGTATTTTACCTCTCCATACCTTTAGATTGCAAACTTTCTGAGGGAATGGATTATAATTATTGAAATGCCATTTACATTTTTGGCTCTACATAAAAGGACACTGTGAAATCTGATCAGCTTTAAAAATTTAATTAAAAGTTTCAGATACTAGATTTTCCCTGGACTCCATTGTCATTTTTGTCTCCCAAACTCCAAATAACATTTGAGAGAGAAACGTTTTTTAAAGACCCCAAATAGGGCAAACTGAATATAGGGCAACAGTGAAATTGACTATATACAAACTAAACCAAATGGGAAAATGTCTGTATCCACTTTACTATTTCAGTTATGGTAATTTTCAGCATCACTTGCATCTTGTAATAGCAGCAGGTAAAATATGTACAAACAAATTTTAAGTTTGTCTCCATTTAAAAAAGGGAAGGTTTTTAGTTCTTTAAATAACCCTAAAACAGCCTTCTCTTGTTTTCATTCTTACCCTTCAGACACTTACCCATAGATAGGATGCTCTGGTCCTATTAGTTGACTCTTAATAAGGGAACAAAACAGTAGACTTTGTCTAAGTCACATGACAGCTCTGTGCTTCAATTATTAAACTGAGATTAAGTAACTAAAATGGGTGTGCTGAGGATTAATTGAGGTTTGTAACCTACCTGTAAATGTTAAATGCCAAGATCTATAATTATTCTAAAATACCTGAATACAATATTCTAGTTAATTTATACTCTAAATCTACTTCTAGTATAAAAGGCAATCTTTACAGAATTTATAAAACTTTCCAACAAGGTTAATGCAAAATGTTACACCTTTTAAACCACACAATTCTATGCATCTGGTTCCCGTTCCATCCTAGTATTTATTTATAGACTATTCAATCCTGACATAGAAAAGGAGTAAACAAATGTAAAAGAACACTCAATACATGACAGGTTTCAGAGTAGCAGCCGTGTTAGTCTGTATCCACAAAAAGAACAGGAGTACTTGTGGCACCTTAGAGACTAACAAATTTATTAGAGCATAAGCTTTTGTGGGCTACAGCCCACTTCTTCGGATTCATATAGAGTGAAACATATATTGAGGAGATAGATATACACACATACAGAGAGCATGAACAGGTGGGAGTTGTCTTACCAACTCTGAGAGGCCAATTAAGTAAGAGAAAAAAACTTGTGAAGTGATAATCAAGATAGCTCAGTACAGACAGTTTGATAAGAAGAGTGAGAATACTTACAAGGGGGGATAGATTCGATGTTTGAAATAGTCTCAGCTAATATTCCTCCAGTATGACTTTAAAGAGAAGCACAAAACCCAAGAAGCGTTTGAAGAAACCCCCGTTTCTCTCTCGCTCGAAACTGCGCAGGTAGCGAAGGACTCACGGTGCCGGGAGCCCCCCGCGCGGTTTGTCGCTCAGCCTGGCTCTCCGGGGGCTGACTGGGAAGCCGAAGTTACGCCAGGCTCACGGCCAGGCGGCCTCTCAGCGCAGGCCTCTTCTCCGCGAGACTCTCCTTATCCTCCGGCAGCGCCCGCGCTGGCTCCCGCAGCAGCTGCTCTCGGCTCCTGCTCACTCGCCTCAGCCCGCGGCAGCTCCGCGCCGAGACGCAGCCCGGGGCTCTTGCTGCGTGACAGCTGCTCTAATTTCATCGAGTTGGGTGTCCGGGGGCTTGCGGCGGGAGCCCGCTCTGCTTTATTTGGGGCTGGGCGCCGGCTGGGAGTGGGCTTCCGCCGGAAGTGTTTGCTTCTTGTTATGCCCCATGCAGGTTCTGGGGCGGCTGAGGAGGCGGTATGTGCTACTCACCTTCCCGGGTTCACCACTCACCTCCCTTGGACTCCCGGGAGATGACTGACGAAGCCGGGACGCTGAGTAGCAGATACCGCCTCCAGCCGCCCCGGAACCTGCACGGTGCATATAAAAAGCTCAGCATTTGCATTCTCCAGGTGTTTGTGGGGGGCTCTGAAGTCTGAACTTCAAGCTGCAGTCACCCAAAGCAGCTGGTGCAGCTGTTCCCCGGTCAGCCTGTGGCTGTGAGGAGCAGGAGTGAGAGGAGGCACTGAGGGGTGCAGTCCCAGCCCAAGTAAGGATGGGGGGAGGCGGTGAAACCCGGTTGGCTAAGGGGAACCACAGCCCAGGATGCTACAGCCCGGAAAAGGTGCATGGAAGCCCACTGAGCCTGCAGGGTAGATGCTTCATTGCAAGTCCCACTCCCCTACCCCAAGCTCCTTGCAGGTTGGGTGGGGGGCAGATGCTGTATGCAAGTCCCACTCCTCTACCCCTTTTTTTATTTCTAGGACTAGTTTTGCTGCATACAACATTGTTACACATTACACTTTCTAAAATAATAGATGTGTGTATTTACATTATTTCTAAAAAAAAATATGGAATTTGTATAAATATTCCCACTTCCCTCCCTCTGAAATGGGTTGGGCTTGTTTTGAAAGGCAGAGCCATTTTTATTTTTTTGAGACTTAGCAAGAAACACTCCCTTGCTCATTTCCACAGGTGACTGATTTGAGCTTGCATGTCAGAGAGCTCTGCAACATGTAAAGAGTTACCGAAACAGGAACATTAGTGTTGGTCGTTAAGCCTGGAAGGATTTTTATCAGTAAACATGAGTCAACGCTGATTTCACCGTACACGCACAGACCAACAGAAAAACATTTCCAGCAACAGTAATCAAAACGTACAGCTAGGCAATGTAAGAAAAACACTGCTTGAGAACTGCTCAGAGATGGTCATTAAATAATTATTGCCTCACATGTGCACACAATTTCCTGCAAGTGTGAAAACATCAAGTGGTAACTGTGCTTAAAAAAGACCATCACTATTATCTGCCAGGCTCACAGCTATTGAAAGTCCCACTCCTCTACCATTCCGGCCTGGAGAGCAGCAGTGTCAGGTGACCCAGCCCCAAGGCAGGTGAACAGCGCTGGTGCCAGCCAGGCCCAGAGGGGCTTTGCCTCCACTGGGGCCATGGAACCGGCTCAGCTACATTCACCATCACACAGTGACCTGATCAGACCAGCCCAGTTCAGCGGAGACCCTCCCCCACGTGGGGGCCGGGGACAGAGCAGGGGAGCTCCCTCAACACAGGGCCTACTCCTACCCGTTTCCTCAGCCCCCTGCCTCACATCAGCAGACGAGGGAGAAGGGGGTCTCGATGTCAGGCCCATGGTCCTCATGCTACAACAGCGCCCTATTACCAGTCACCATGACAACCCCCCGACACACTCGGACCTCTGCAGCCAGGAGTGCTCCCAGCTCAGACCGGCCGCCCCATGCGGCAACCATGGCGCGAGGCGGACAAAGAATGGAGCTATCCACCAGCAGCCGAGGGGTTAAACCGCAGCGCTCCCTCACCCAGTGCAAATGCATTGCGCGTCACGTCCCTCCCCCCTTTTGCTCTTATGCGGCGTCCAAAGTTTTAGGCAATAACGTGACATCGCAATCCGCAGCTTTGCTGATACGGAGCGTGCTCAGTAACACGCACTGAAGCCGCCCAGTGCCCTCACATGGGCAGGGTTAGGCCGCGCTCTCTGCTGTGCGGCCAGGGCGGAGGGGAGGGCCGGGTTGGACTTACTGCACAAGTGTGTCAAGCAGCTGGGGTCAGGGGGCAGCATCAGGAACTCATTTGCATTGGTTTGGCAGGGGTCACAGTGCTGACCAAACCTAGTTTGCCTTTTCGTGAAACTATCGTGTCTTATCTCCACTATATTTTTACAGTGGGAAAGCTAATGCATGTTCGTTACCCCACAGTAAAAACATTTTCTTAGTAGTGAGGAGACACATTATAATGCTGACTCAGAGATGTTAAATGCACCATTATTGTTTGTGGCTTGACAACTCTGATACTGACTGTGGGGAGGACATAATCAAAAGTATTTGCATCTGAATGTCTGCAGTGTGTGTGGGTGCACGTGCGTTTTCCCCCCTCAATTTCCCTTATTCCCTTCCCTTTACTTAGTAAAGGCTGGTTTACATAGACATGCTAAAGCTGTGAAGTTAATGCCCAAGCAGGCCTGAGGCCCAGCTCACCCGCCATAGCTGCCCTGAGCTCTGGGCTACCGCCTGGCCCAAACAGGCCCTGGCCTGCCTGCCACAGCCACTCCGGGCTGCTGGCCAACCCAAGCTGGCCTAAGCCACAGCCAGCTGGCCAGCCTGAGCTGACCTGAGCACTGGCCCGCCAGATGACCCCAGCCTCCCCGAGTCCTGGGCCAGCCCAAGCTGCCCTGAGCTCTCACACGCTTCGGGGGAGGGAGGCGGAGCAAGGTTGGGAAGAGGAGCAGCATGGGCAGGGCCATGGGGGAAAAACAGGAAGTGGGAGCAGAGCCTCAGGGCAGGCCTTATTCTAGGCATACAGATGCCTATCTCCCACCAAATCCCCAGAGCGACTCACCAATCAAGGCAGATAGGCTGGCAAATGCCTATTTTGTGGATTGGGCCCAATGTGGTAGGAGTGCTCAGAGGCTGCCTACTAGATGGGGTTTCATTCAAAGCCTGGTTGGAGAAGGAGGTGGGGTGGTTGTGCCATTGCTCACCTTATAACTTTTAGCAAAGTGATTAGAGCACTCACCTGAATATGGGAGACTCCAAGTTCAACTCCCTCCTTGGCAGCGGGAGAGAGAAGATTTGAACAGTGGTCTCCCACATCTCAGGTGAGTTCTCCAACCACTGGGCTAAACTTACAAGGTAGGCACTACTACCACCACCTCCTCCGGCTGCTTTGTGCGGAGTTAGGCACCTGCCTAGCTCAATCTGACACAAAACAGCTTAGGCGCCTAAGACTCCTGAGCCCAGGAGAGTGGTTCCCAGTTGCGGATAGCTAGCAGGGATAGGTGCCTCCCTGCAGTCCCAACTTCTGTGAGAGGGGCAAGGCTTAGGACACGTGTCTCTCATTGGCATCTCCCATTGGCTACATTGGGGGAGTCCAGCTAGTGACCTGGCTTTTGTGAGTCACATTCTCAGAAGCCAATTTCTTCCCATTCATTGTATAGGAAGTACGGGCACCTAACTCAGCTTTTGTGAATTGCAGTGTTGTTCCTGTGATTTTCTAGATAAACACTTAAAAATTAGGTGTTGTGATGCTCAGCATCACAATGCCTAAGTCCCTGTAAGAATCTAGCCATTATACTCTTTCCTCACTGCTAAAAAGGGTGATTTTGTTTTTTTACCTCAAAGTAACTAAGGTATGTGAGCTATTCTGAGGTAAAAACACAGTGAGGTCAAGGCAGTTCAGTTTTAGCAGTGAGGAAAAGGCCTGAGAAAATATCTCTGAAATAAGATCAGAGGGAAGTGTGCTCATGTGTGCAGAACTGCAAATTTTGCATTGAAAACTAGTTGTTCAATATGCGTAACAGTGACAATGGGGGAACAGTAATTTTTCTGCCTAACAGCTTGTGTTTAAAAAGTATACGTAGTAGTCCAAATACTGTTTACAATGTGTTATGCTGTTTTTAATGTTTTGTGTCCATTCAGTGTTTGTTTAACATAGAAATTGTATGGCCTAATCTATACAGGAAAGACACTAATAAAGAATATCATCTCCATTCAGGGTTTTATATATAATAGTCCTGAGGTTTAGCTCTGTAGAATGCATTTCCAAACTGCAATAATACCTTTCTTTATTTGTGTCTAAATTTAAAATAGAGATTTCACAATGGTAGAAATTTGTGACTGGAGTGCTCCCATCCTTGTGTCTCTAACCTCTGTTTGCCAGAAGCTGGGAGTGGACAAGGGGTGGATCACTCAATGATTGCCTGTTTTGTTCATTCCCTCTGAAGCATCTGGTATTGGCCATTGTCAGAAGGGACCATTGGTCTGACCCAGCATGACTGTTCTTATATTCTTAGCCAGACTACAAATTATGACAGGGCAGCAAAAACCAATCCCTAGAGATCAGTAACTGCTACCTGGAGCAAATTGTGCTGGGAGCAGTTTGTAAACACTACACCAGCATCACCCCTTGCCTGTGATCTACAGCAGTGGTTCTCAAAGCCGGTCCGCCGCTTGTTCAGGGAAAGCCCCTGGCGGGCCGGGCTGCTTTGTTTAACTGCCGCGTCCGCAGGTTCGGCCGATAGCAGCACCCACTGGCCGTGGTTCGCCACTCCAGGACAATGGGAGCTGCAGGAAGGGCGGCCAGCACACCCCTCGGCCCGCGCTGCTTTCCGCAGCCCCCGTTGGCCTGGAGCAGCAAATTGCGGCCAGTGGGAGCCGTGATCGGCCGAACCTGCGGACGCGGCAGGTAAACAAACTGGCCCGGCCCGCCAGGGGCTTTCCCTGAACAAGCGGCGGACCGGCTTTGAGAACCACTGATCTACAGTGTCCCTGCATCGGGCGTGCAACTTCAGAAGCAACCCCAACATCAAAGGCCTTGGCTACACTTGCAAGTTACAGCGCTGTAAAGCCTCCCCCAGCGCTGTAACTCACTCCCCATCCACACTGGCAGGGCACTTACAGCGCTGTATCTCCCTGGGTACACCGCTGCAGGTACTCCACATCTCCGAGAGGAATAACAGCTGCAGCGGAGTGCCTAGGACTCACCGGTGTGAGTGTAAACAGCTTGCAGTGCTGCACTAATCACCTTGTCAAGTGGCCAATCCTCTCCATTGTTGTGACCGGCTCCAGGAATGCGGAAGTGCCGGTTTCAAAGCTCCTACCGCAGAGAAAAGTAAACAGTTTGCAGCTTGCTTTGAGTGAGTGAGTGAATGAATGAGCA